AAACGGACATTTATAGTGATTCAACGCAAAATAGCAAAACGAAAACAACAGTTCTTCAGGGACAAAGCCCCTTTGGACTAAGAAAAAAACTGGAAGTTTTGAGATTTTAACGGATGCCCAAAAGGGTTTATGAGATTTTTTGTACGTATGTATGTTTATATGTACACTGCGAAGAAAAAAAAAAAAGGTTCTATATCTCCTATTCTACTGGGCATATTGACGAAATTCAACTTTCATTTTTCATGGCTCGATAACGCGACTTAGGTTATGCATTAGATTTATATATAGCATTGTTCTAATATATGTATTTTGGCACAAAATTAGACTTTTTCTAAAATGACATGCCAATTTTTTTTCCATATTTCGATTCTACGAATTAAATTTGGTATATATTTATTAATCCCTCTTTTTTTTATTAAACTTGATTCTTCCTTTCAAATTTCGAAATTTAGGTTCATTTCAAATAAACTTCGCCCATTTTTTATGATTTATTTTTCAAATTTGTAGTTTTAAATAATTTTTAGAAAGAATTTGAATTATAATCTACAAAATTTTTACCATCATCTTGAATTAGGTGTATTTCTAAGCATACCTGCAAAAAATCGGAGTTTTTTATTCCAAATTTCCGAAGATATGTGTGAATTTATCTATCTTGGCGCGTTTGAATTGGCCATTTTTGAAGCGAGAAAACGTTAAATGTTGTTTAGCACTTTGTCAAAATTGTTGAAGTAGGAAACGAAAAAAAAATAGGAAAACAAAAAATAATGAAAAAAAAAAAAAATAAAAATGAAAAAAAGAAAAAAAAAAAAAAAAAAAAAAAAAAAAAAAAAAAAAAAAAAAAACTTTTGAATTTTCCCGAAAATTTTATCAAAAAAAACAAAATTGGAAAAAAAAAAAAAAAAAAAAAAAAAAGGACACAAAAAAAAAAAAAAAAAAAAAAAAAAAAAAAAAAAAAAAAAAAAAAAAAAAAAAAAAAAAAAATAAAGCCTGCCAAAAAAAAAAAAAAAAGGGCACGTCATTTCAGAAAAAGTCCGATTCGGCTCGGTTTTATTCTTATATGTTGGTAAAGTATGCATTTTTTACTTTAAAAAGTGATTGAATTATGTCCCGGTTAAGGTTTTCCTGCCTTTAGTTAATCTGCACCCAATAGTTGTATCAATAATTTAAAAGTTGTTTAAGTTCGACTAAGCCTAACGACGCCGCACTTTGTTTACATTTCACCCTTAGCAGCATACTGAATGAAGTCAGTTTCTGCACCAACTTCAATGTCTTTTTGCCGAGTTGGACCAAAAGTTTTGTACACCGAACGTTTGTTTTTAACGGTTTTTAACTCTACTTGGTGTTTTACATTTTTCTGTATTTTTCAATTTTTAATAAAGATGCTTGAGTTTTTACGTATTTTTATCTTGCCGCGAAGAGAAAACTAAACTGATTGAATGAAAATATGTCTTTAATGAAATTCGGGGAAACAAGTTTAAATGAAATGCAGCAAAAAATATGCATAATTTAATAGGCCGTACAAGGAGTGTTGTGGCTTGTGTGAAATAGTTTTCATGAGCATGTGACTCGAGGAAAAACAGGCTGAGTCAGCAGCATTAGTCAGCGAAATGTTCCTGTAATACCGTATTCTTTGTTTCATTTAATAAAATAACTATTATTGATAGGAAAAAAAAATCCTTAAAATGTATATATATATATAGAATTTGAATGTAACAAAATTCTCTATCCGTAAAAAGCAAATTTAATAAATTTAAATGAAATTTAATTTAATGCAAACAAATAAATGATTAATTATTGTTGCAAACTAATCTGCAATATCATTTAAATTCTGAGAACATATGTAAATCAAGTGCAAGTATCAAAATCCATTAATAAATATAAAATTCCAAAAATTATTTAATCCTAAAAAAAAAATATTTATAAAAATGCATAAATGAATAATTGTTGAGAAGGCAGGAGACAGACTTATCAAGGGGAAGTTGCCTTCAAACCTAACTCTTCAATCATTCAATTCGTGTTTCGTCATCCATGTAGGCAAGCGTAAAAGTCAAAACCGAAAGTAATACCAAATGTGGTGAATTACCTAAAAGAAATTTAAAATTTTGAGAAATTAGCAATTAAAAGACTAGAATTAAAATTAATAAATAAGAGTAGAAAACCAAATTTTTAGAAAATCTTGCCTACAGAAACTTCATGGAAACATGGATGACGAAACGCGAATTGAATGATTGAAGAGTTGGGTTTGGAGGCAACTTCCCCTTAATAAGTCTGTCTCCTGCCTGCTCAGCAATAAATAAATTTTTTAATTTTATATTTTCATGGATTTTGATACGTTGCACTTGATTTACTATGTTCTCAGAATTTAAATGATATGTAGATTAGTCGCAACGATAATTACCATTATTATATTGCATTAATTAAATTTCCTTTAAATTTATTAAATTTGCTTTTCACAAATAGAGAATGTTTGTTAAATTCAAATTTCATTCCTTGCAGCAATGGCTCAAGAGAATTATTTAAAATTAAATCTAACTTTACTTTATTCTTTTGAAGCAATATATATATTTAATTTTTAACGCTTAATTTTATTCAAATGATATCCTGGATTTTTCAAAATAAAATAAATTCTAAATAAGTCGCACTCGTTAAGTATTAACGCACCACTAGTTAAGAAATTTAATTATCAGATGTAGTTAAAGCTTTTCCCTTTTAAACATATTAATAAAATATTTTCAATACTCTTGCAAAAGCATGTCACAATTTTATTGATAATAAAATAAAAAAAAAGCTCTTGTTATTAATGTACACAATGACACAAATTAAGTAGAATAGAAATTTTGATACTTTTTGACAATCCGCAAGCCCAGTTTCAATATTCACTGGAATTAAATCCTGCTTTGGCGTAATTATACACGGAACAACAGCCAACTCATACACGCACGTACGACACACGTGTACATAATAGCTATATTTTGAACGTCAGTGCTCACCAATAGTAAAAATATAAATATAAGCTACACAGAATTTTTTTCCTCATACAATTTCTTGTAACATGCCTTCTTTTTATTATTATGTGTGCACAGAATGGAACCTAAGCCGATAATGAAATGAATATTTTTTGCCAGTTCCTAGTCGAACAGTTTTTGCATAACTCACTGCCAAGTCGCCAGTGAGTTAGCGATATTTGATGAGGGTGCGGATAATCAGAAAGCAGTCAAATTTAATTTATGTTACCATGCTAAATATATATAGGTTCAATTTCCTTCTATTTACAAATTATTCAAAAATTATTATATACAACAATAACAAAAATAAATGTTTATTAAACACAGAGTTCAGAATCTATAAATATATACATATTTCACACAGATAAATTACAGAGTCTAAGCTGATGACCGATTATTTTTTTAAAAGAAAAAATTAACACAGTATTTCATATCCAAGACTAAAATAAAATAAAATGAGAATACTGACAGTACAAAAAATGCTGTCTTCATAATAAACTCCCTGTACTGTATTACTGCTCAAAGTTACATAAATATTATCGATGCTCTTATGCATTATGCTACACATGAATATTACAGAAGAATTTTATATGATGTATTATTTGCACTAAATAGAAAAAAGTTTAAAATATGCTTTTTGGCCCATATTTTTTTGAGGGGGGATATCACCCTTTTTGACACTTCAGAATTTATAGAATTATTGCTTAGGTAAAAATATAAGATTTGCATATATATACAGTTACATAAGTGTTGTTGAAAGTGCATGAAATTTTCCACTGGAAAGTTTCTTAGGTTTGAAATGCGGTATAATTATTAAAAACGAAAAAAAGCATACCAAGGCATAAAGTTTTTATGAAATACTAACATACATTGTGTTATTCCTGAGGCTTTTGAAATATAAATTTATAGATATGAAAAACTATTGTTCGATCATTTCTAACTCAAACAAATGTTTAAATTAAATTAAATACTTATTATATTTAATAGCTAACGGCATGATGGTTTTCTGAAACATGGAAAATGAAAGCTGCTACAATTCTTCAAAATAATTAAATACAAAACAATTTGTCTCTGACAAGAAATAAAACCTTAAAAATAGCTCATAATTAATTCTTTATGATGTAATGCTTATATAAATTTAACAATAAAAGAATCTAAGAAAATGATAAGGTTTTTAAAGACACTGTAAATAATGAATAATACACAAAATAATGATTAAATTTCCAAATTCTGCATTTCAAAGTCACAATAAATAAAATTTAAAACATTATTAGTTCATTATGAAAAAGTAAGAAATGAAAATTTAAAAATAGTTCTGTATAATAATATAGCGTTTAATTACATCAAACAAAAACAAACCCTTTTGAGTATTTATAAATAAAATATAATACACAAAGTAGTGCATTATTAACAACGTTCTTGAATTTTGTATTTCTGATTCAACGGTTATGTAGATATTATTTCAATTTTTAATGCTTTTCCTTTTTTTTTTTTTTTTTTTTTTTAAAGTATATGATGTCTCATATACTGACGAACCGTCTTACGTTTACTTTAGAGTGATGTAAATTTCTTTATAGCAAAGAAAATTAAAAGTAAAATTTTAATTCTTTATATTCAGAGCTTAAAAAAGAGGCAAATAAAGAAAAGAGTTTACAAAAAAAAAAAGAAAAAAAAAAAAAAAAAAAAGTTTCATGAAAAAAACAAAAAAAAAAAAAAAAAAAAAAAAAAAAAAATAAAAATGCAATAACAACCATCAAAAAAACCAAAAAAAAAAAAAAAAAAGTAAAAAAAAAAAAAAAAAAAGGTGGTGAAAAAAAAAAAAAAAATGGTAAAAAAAAAAAAAAAAAAAAAAAAAAAAAAAAAAAAACAAAAAAAAAAAAAAAAAAAAAAAAAAAAAAAAAAAAAAAAAAAAAAAAAAAAAAAAAAAAAAAAAAAAAAAAAAAAAAAAAAAAAAAAAAAAAAAAAAAAATAAAACAACAAACATTATACAAAATTCATGTTTTATGATAAAAAGAAGTGTGGAAATAATAAAAATATAAGTATTTCATTAGGTCTAAAATGTAGTTATTCGATTGATTTTCTTTAGCATTAACATACTGGAGAAATTTTAAATAATTAAATATTTATGCAATACATTTTAATATTTTAAACTCTGTAATAAAAATAAAATACAGTCTTGTACTAGAGTTAATGTCAACAATGGCTGTATATATGTATATATAAACCCTAAATTCTTTCTAAGGATTCCGTGCTTCATTAGGAAAAAGTCACGGAGGATCACTATTTTTCTTAATTACTTTACTAAAATTTAAATGAAAACAAGTTAAAATTTAATCTTTTTCTAGAATGGCATTCATTTATTGTAACACTGATTGTATAGCATCTAAAATAAAAAAAAAAATCTAACAACAGTAAGTAAACACTGTTTACATTATAATTAGAAAATATATGCAATAGTTCTTTTTAAACTGATAGTCAGTCAACAAGAAATATTAAAACAGTATTTTCATGAACTTCATTTTCAAGGACGAACCTTTTAAATTACCATCAAGCCATTTTTTAAACCCTACAAGCATCACAGATGAAATTACCAGCACGGTGCCAGCAATAGTGTATGCATCTGGCGTGTCTTTGAAAAGAGTCATATCTAAAATAAAGGCAAGAATAATATCTCCAGCAGCCATGAGCACTGAAACAGGTCCAGCTTCCTCCATTTCTAAAGCTTTAGTTAGAGTGAGTTGACTGAGAAAACTGAAAACACCAACTGCGATCACTAGACCTTGTTGAATACCACATACGGTCCATGTGAACTCACCAAATGCAGCCGTCAAAAAAGCGTTGACAGCAGTTGCCACGATGCCAAAATTGAACAATATGACGTACACATCGACATCGTGTAGTTTTCGTAGCACTATGTAAACCCCACTTTCTGTAGTTATGGATCCCAAAGAAGCTAACAAGCCGATGACACTTTCTTTAGTATACACATTTGTCCTGTTGGCCATAAGCAAAGGTACTTTGCTCACTAATGCTACGCCAACTACAGAGATGGCGATAGCAAAAATTTGCGATGCTCCACACTTTTCTTTTAAAAATATCCTAGCTGATATTGTTACGAAGACAGGTACACTTGAAGTGAGCACTGTGGCATCGGATAATGGTAAATACCTGAATGAAACAAAAGCCAAGTACACAGTGACAGCATCGAAGATTCCACACAGAAGAAACCAATACTTAGTAGATCTTTCTGGTCCAAAGATATTTCTTCCGCCTTTGACGACCATTGGTAAGGAAAATACCGCAATGGCAATGTATTGATAAAATGCTACTTGTCCTGGATCTATATCACGAAGGTATTTGACACTTGCAGCACAAGCAGCAAAGAAAAGACCCGAAAATAATCCATAGAAAAGTCCTATAATAAGTGTTTTTGTGCTTTTCTTTTTTTTGAAAGATTTTGTAGTCCTTTGGCTATTCACTGAAGATGCAATGGAGTTTGATTTCTGTGTTTGTGGGTACTCCATATGTGTAGAATTCAGACTGGTTCCAGATATAGGATTCCTCATTTTCAAGGAAATGTCTTCATACCTAGCCATTTTGGGGGATGGCTCCAGTGGGCCTGTAATTGTAAAAAGAATAATGTAAATAATTACACTTATGGTAAAGAGAAATTTAAGAACAGATGAATTTCTTGCACAGTTGATCAGATTTCATTAAATAGCTTTACCCGCAATAATTAATATTCTTTCAAATAAATACATTTTTTGAGATATTTTTCATCTCTCACACATAAGAGTTTTATGTAACTCTAGTTACACAAAGTTAAGATAATATTAGAAGTATTACTATAGTCACTGTAACGTGTCTTTTGTTATTGATTGACCAGCAGTGTGGTTTTTGAGCACGTACTCACTCTTTTAATTAATTTATGGTTGTCAACTGTTGAATGCTGTGTCAAGAGCTTGGATGAGCTTAAAAATTACATCTATAGTGGTATGAAATTAGTCATAAATGGTACATATGTAAGTGAGAACGTGATGGCTTTTCCGTTATTGGAGGATTTTATTTAAAGTTTGTGGATGCCATTCATAAGGTGAGATGTAAAGCTTGGAAAGCTTTACTCATATTTGATATAACTCTAATTAATATAATTGTAAACTTAAAAAATATTGTCTTTGTGGATCGTTTTGAAGGACGAATCATTTTGAGCATTTACATAAATTTGACTACATTGTTCGGCAAGGGGCTTTTAAAATTAGAAGGTCAAGAATGGTGCTAAAAGATTGTCAGGTGCAGTGAAAAAGGAAAAATAAATAAAACAGTGATTAAAAGTGCTGAGTTATATTAAAATTAAATAAAATATAAAAATGCATAACATTGTAATTAAATAAATAATTAAATGAACGGTAAGCGAAAAGCAACAAAGCAAGCAAAATAAGTAATAAAGAACTAAATAACAAATTAAATAAAACTAAATTAGTGTATCCAAAATTAAATGAAACTGAAGCAACTGTAATCAAGAAATTTAATTAAGAAATAAAAGTAATAATTAATACAGCTTTCCGTTTATTTAAGAGTAACGGATGTAATTTTTATTCCACACTTTCTGGAAAAAGGTGACTAGAAAACATATTATGCTGGGCTTTTATGAGTTTTTGCAAAGCTGAAATGTACCGGAGTCAGGCTTCACTCGGTGCCGGCTGAATATTAGCACTGGATCAACAGTAAAATTGCCTTACCCAAAATGTTTAGTGTAGTTTAATTTATCATCAAAGCACACTAGAACTATCTGCCTAAGGGCAGGGATGCCTTCGTAGATGATTTTCTAAGGGAAACTGACTCGTATATATGTTACACATGGAGAAAACTAGCGAAAATGCCCATGCAGTCAGCCCTTTCGCCTGGATTAGAAACCAGGTCGAAACTACCAGTGTTCAGCGATTTTACCACTCGGCTGTTAGTGGGCCACTTACACATAAGGATCGAGGTAAAATTCAGTTCTATGTTAAGTAGTAATACACATGGAGTTAACATGATTTTAATTTTAACCAGCTAAACAGTTTTCAACAGAGGAGAAAAACGATACAATGTGAATGCTGTAATTCTAGTAAATGGTTTTCACTGCCGCAGACAGCAATACACGTAACGAAGCGGCACAACAATGAGTCATATAACCTAAGTATCCGGCCCTTAAAAACTAAATACCAAGCAAGGATGACTTGCTTTTATAATTAATTCATCAAGGCTTAAAATAGCACATTCGAGAGATCGTAAACATTACTTCTGGTGTGCTATTACTGGGAGTATCACCCAGTACGTTAAGAGTTGCAATACCATAGGCCAATAGGCCGTTTTTTGAATTTAGACATACATTTTTATGTATCACACCCGAGGGCGAAAAACAACTAAGTATAATAACATGAAATAATTAATATTGCAGAAAGAGTTAGCCGTAAAACATTCGATTTTAGATGACGTCCACTATGAACCAGCAGGTTTTCTGTTAGAGGTAAATCTGATGATCTTGTTGGCCATAGTAATGCTTAACCTATAGAGTAACTAGGATTTTTTTTTTTTTTTTTTTTTTTTTTTTTTTTTTTTTTTTTTTTTTTTTTTTTTAGCAGGGGACACGAAAAATGTTCAATGTTCTCGCTGAGACTCAAATCTGAACCTCTCGAATACGCGCCGAGTGTGCTACTGTAACATCACGAAGGCATGTTGGAAGAAGGGAGAAGATACTTTTAAAAACCGTTTTGCAAGCATTGTGGGGAGACGTCAGAAGCGTTTCTTGATTTTCTTGGAAAATGAATACTTTAAGTTATAGTAGAATGGTAACAAAATGCGAAGCAGAAACTCGTTAACATATTGTACAGTTGTCAGTGTGCCCGTGATGTGGTTCGTTATACATAATGCTGTCTCATACTATGATGCTTGTCTGACGGGATATGTGGTGTCTGTGAACGAAAGCGAAATCTATCTCATAAGAGTTCCTTAGCAAAGTGATTTAAAAAAATCCATCTGTTACATTCAATTTGTACTACTTCGGCATCAAACTTGAGGACGCAATGTGATGGCTTGCAATTCATGAGTAATTACTTTACAGAATTATCTCTTGCAGTTGCGGCTTACAATTGGGGAGGCAATACTCAAAATCTACGATCGAATGCAAAGCACACTAAATATCACATGCAATGCTTTGCAGAGACGATCTTTGATATTTCTAAGCTATCTCGTTGGGCAATCTGCTTGATGTGTCTGAAAAATATTCATACGGCGTATATTTATGGATGACATCTAGCTGGCAATTTTGGCCTTCCCTGAACCATTTCTAAACATACATAGTAAACCTTATAGGTCCATAAAACTTTTATTTCCGAAAAGCTCGTTATAATCCTGTTTCTTTTTGCATATTTATCTTAAGAGCAAGTAACTTCTCAGGTTATCATAAATTTTCATGCCTTTGCATTTTGCCCAGGTGCAGCATATATTCTTCTCAATTGGGTAATTTCGACGTAGAGTAGCACACATAAAAGTTCATCGTTTTAACATTTATCTGAAAGGCAGCAGAACACATAAATGATTAGGAGAATATCACGATTATCACACACATTCGAAATAATATTAGGAACAAATAAGGAATCGAAATCAAGAATCTGGTTAACGACTTTATTCTCCTCTTTCCAAGTAGATTAATATTTTTTCTTTTAGTCAGATTGAAAAAAATATAGCAATCAACTTAAATAATCATAAACGTTATAAACATCGAATTGCCATCACAGAAAGGTGAGTTACAGTTAAAAATTATCACATGGAATACAAACCAAATGTCCTTTTTATAATGATAACATCACTTTCTGCCGCTTGAAAGAATATAGTGTTAGAGCAAATTTTTATTAACAGGACCAATCACGGGGTATACTGTTAAGAAGTATAGTTAAGAAGTACGGGCATACCCGACAAAACATCATATATTTTATTAATTTTTTTTAACTTAGATGATTCAATATCTGTGTGGCAATAACATAGAAAAATAACAAGTATTATTTTGCTTTGTCATATCATTCGTGATACCTCAGTTATTCAATATATTTTCAAAAGTGACTAGAATATACTTTAGAATGTTGAAATGAATAGGATGTTGAAAATCCAGACTAATAACTAAATATAAACAGCACAGAAACAGATGTATGTATTCACAGTGATGCTTCTAAGAATATAATTATGCAGGTATGGTGATTGTTAATATTTTCCCTTTCTGTTCATTTTAGATTTTACCTTTTTGTGCAAGTAACTCTGTATTTGATAAACTTTAACAAATTAATTTTAATCTTCAGTGCTTTGTGTTCGAAGAACATCCTGAAAATTAATGGCAAAAATTTTAGTATCAAATCTTTAATGATCACTGCTGTGATGTTTATTTTATTCTATAATAATTATGAACACATAATGTTGTTTAACTATTTCGAAAATAAAAAAATGGCAATGAAAGAAATTTATTTTAACAGTTTTAACAGTTAGATGAAGACTTCTTTAGCAGAATTTGCTTATGACATCGTAACATTATATTTATACAGACTTTAGAAATTTAGAAGCGAAGAATCTTGTTAAAATCACTATACTCTTATCGAGAATTAAACCTAGGTTTTGAGAATTCTGCACTGATATCTTGACTACTTTTTCGATTTGAAAAGACACATTTTTCTGCCTCTGAATGGCAACGCGAAAATCAGCAGTAGCGCATTGATTTAAAGAGCGCTAAATGGCAACAGCCTGAGCTTTGGAACTTCTCTCGATTTGTTTGATGCAGGTCGAATGCTGCTTAGCAGATGTTAAATAGATTCTAGATTAGATTCTAGATTATATCTGTAGATTAATTTTAATTAGATTAATTTGTCTGGTAGTCTAATAAATTCTATTCTAAACTAGAGTCAATGCCGATTTAGGTCTAAATATTGCTGAACCATACATGCAGAAATTTAGATGCGGCATCAGATTTATTTTAGAACTTCGCTAGCTACTCCGTGTCACATGAATCTATTGTAGAACTACTATAGAACATAAGAAGAAACATTTTTACTTCCTTATACAAAAAATTTTCGGGTATTATATTTCAACGAAAATATCCATTTTGACAGCTATCGAATGCAATTTAATGATGTTTTTGCGCGACATCTGTACGTAAGGAGAGAATAAAAGACTCTTTTTTCTAAAACGGGTTACAAAAAGGATTTAAAATGGATTCAGAAGAGATTGTTTCGTGACATATGTACGTGCGTATGTATGTATGCATTTCGCATAACTCAGTAACTAACTTTTTGGTTGCAATCGGCTGCACCAAAAGTATTTAAATATATATTATTTTGTTATTAGGTCAGTTATTTTTAGTCTTGCATATTGGTAAACTGTGCATTTTTTGCTTTAAAAATTATTGAATTATATTGTTCTTATCTTCTGGTTAAGCATTTTATGTCTTTAGTTAAGCTGCATGCAATAATTGTAGAATTATCAACAATTTAAAAGTTGTTTAAGTGCGGCTAAGCCTAATTTTTTTACCACAAATTTTGTTTACAGCGAACTTAGCAGAATAGCGAATTAAGTCAGTTTCTGCATCTTCAGTGTACC